ACAGCTAAACTCCCGCCCGGGTATCTTTATCGTGAGGAGGGCCGAGCTCAAAATTTCTTCAAAACAAACAATGGAACCAGTTCTCCCACACGATCTGTCACGGAAGGCCTGCGAAAAGCCGGCAAAAGAAGTGTGTGTGTATGTGTGTGTATGCAAACGGACATACAGCATATATGGGCTCCAAGTTATGTGGAGCATAAGGACCGATGGCGTATCTGTTAAACGTTGCAGCCGGATGTGAAGAGGAGTGGTTCGATTCCATTGCGGTCTAGAACAATTTTCGAGAAAAGGACTTCGTTCACGACATCGTTCATTCTTTGCAACGTAAACTGAGGGCCAACATCACCATGCTTTTGAACAACTCTTAAAACAGAGGGTCGTCGGCAGCGTTGTCGGAGAATTAATGCTGTTTCAGATAGGGGGACGGAGGAAGGGAGATCGAGAAAGGAACAAATTCAGGACTTTCCCCTTGCCCCTTCGTGATACGGAAGGCGCGACAGCTGACCAAAATAACAATGTAAGTGGATTTTTCAGGAACTGCAGAGAAATGAAACACGAACATTTTGCAATAAATTACTGGGCAGCGATCTGGAGCACAAAATCTTCCAGTTCTGACGTATACTGGACGGCATCTGGCCCTGGCCACTGGTGCTCACCACAAACACAACACAGTGCTCTGAGATTAAATCCTGCAACAGTAATCTTTGTTCAAGCTCCGCTACACACAGAGATGAGCACAGCAATCGTACAGCGGCTCAACACAGCCTCGCAAATGGTGGTGAACGGAGACTAACAGTGCGAATAAGTTTACCTTCAAATTCCGCCCACTGACTGCAAACGCCTTAGTGAAGAGGACGGGCGTGACCCCAAACCTGACTTAGAATCACCTGCAGGGACAACGGGAAAGGAGGGAGCGAAGCAAGGCACGAATACGAGCACCGCCAACAGACAGCCGACCTCGAATGGCCAACGCACAAGGTACTTCGCCAGCATTTTATTACCGAATCTGATCCCAAGCCCGAACCCCTCCCCCCTCAACGGAACTTCTCCAACTCAGCTTTGCAGTTATGCATTTTTTTCTTCTTCGCCCGGACGATTTCGCCACACTCCACAGAACCTGCCCCAAAAGACTGAAATAAATAGCAGCGCGCATCAGACTAGCCGGTGTGATCATGCGTTTTGTGCAATTCAGCCCATCGAACGATTGCCTATTAATGAT